CTGTAGAGTAAGTGAGCCGTCTTCTATTTGTGTAATAGTTATCATGAAATAGGCTCGTATAGTATACGAGCCTACTCCTGTAATTTATTTAAATTCAGTATTTTGGCTCGTATACTATACGAGCTTATTCCTGAATTATTCAAGAATTCATACGCTTGGCTCATAGGCACTATGATCTGTAGAGTAAGTGAACCCTCTTCATTTATTTGATATTTTTGATCGGCTCGTATAGTATACGAGCCTGTAGTGCAAGTGAACCTTCAATATTATTTACGAAGCTCGTATAGACTATGATTTGTAGAGTAAGTGAGCCATGTGTTTTAAGAATTACATATTTGGAGGCTCATTGTGTCAATGATTCGTAGAGTAAGTGAACCCTAACCGTTTTATCTATGGCATTATTTATATTCAACTGAAGAAACTACGTTATGGCCCTAGTATTACGGTATTACGCGTATTACGTTATTACCATGACGTATTGGATTTAGAAAACATACTGTAATTCAGAAGTCAATTAATATAAGCATTAAGCTTTTATTGCGAAACCCATAAAATTATGTTTAATAATAAATAAATAAAAAGGTCTTTATTTATGACAAACTGCTAATCAATTTGTATAATTATTGTAAAATAATAAATAGCTATTTAAAAAAAATAGATAATAGTGGGGTTTTACTCCTTTAAAAGCAAACAATGAATAAGGAAATACATCCCGCATTTTTGAAACGAGAAGAGGAATAAAAGTTCCATGTTCCATGACATTTAGGCTCTTATTAGACGAGGCAGCCATGCCGGGCAGCCAGTCGCCCGTCTGGCTGCCTAGCGTAGCAATCAGTAGAGCAGCCACAGGGCAGCCACAAAATTACCAACTAGGCCAGTCTCTTGTTGACAGTGGAACAGTGTTGGTGGAACAGTTCTGTTGGGGAGAGACGCTGTCAGAATGCGAGATGAATATTTGCTTCTTCTGCTACTCATGAAAAAGAGAAGATGAAGGAAGAGAAGAATGCATATACATCCTATTCTTTCATCAAGAACAGAAAAAGGATTATATTACACCAATTACACAATTATATTACAAGAATACTGAGGAAAACAACACACACTGATGTGACCGGCAGAGATGAACGCACTTCCACGAGTGATTATCTACTACTGATGTGTGTGGCAGAGGGCGACTGGCTGCCCAGTGTAATAAGATCCGTAAGCTACAAAGGAGCGCGACCAGACCGAGCAGCCAGTGGTTGCCTGTGCGGTCGCCGGGCTCGGCAACCAGCCGGCAGCCAAACAGTGGCTGCGCAACTGGCCGCCCTCGTGTAATAAGCTCCATAAGAACCAATGCCCAGTGACTAGCTGGCCGACTGGCTGCGCAACTTGGCTGCCTTTACCTTTACCTTTACCTAGGTCCTCTTCACCGTAGTCGTTGAGACCAGGGAATCGTCATTCTTCTTTTGTTATGTGTATATATGTGTATTTGTGTAGGTTGTGAGCAGTTTAATGGTTTATTCTATTGTAGATGCTGTGATCTACGTAAAATTCATTTAGGTTGTAATATGGTTTGTTTAGCAAATATTGTTTTAGTTTTTTCAAGAAAGTTTTGTCATTGTGGATCAGTTTTAAATTCTCTGGCAACATATTAAATAGCTTTGACCCTATTATTTGAGGATTTTTACTAGTTTTGGTAAGTCTGTGTTGTTGAACATTATAGTAAAGTTTCGAGTTTCTTAAATTAAGTTTGTGGCAATCATTTCTGACTTTTGGGGGGTTGAGTTTCAAAAATTTGATGGTTTCCAGAATGATGGATGGTATGGTAAGGATTTCATTGGATATGAAGAATGGTTTGCAATGTTCGTCATATTGAAGCTGTTCTATTGTTCTTATGGCCCTCTTTTGTATTGTAAGCAGTTTTTGTATGAGATGGTCTGCAGCAGAACCCCAAGCTATGATGCCGAATCTTAAATGGCTTTCAAATAATGCAAAATATGCGATTTTTGCAGTTTTTTTGTCTGTTATAGAGCATATTCTTCTTATTGCGAATGTTGCTGACAACAGCTTATTTTCTAGATGTTCAATATGCTTTTGCCAGGATAAGTTTTCATCCAAAAAGACTCCTAAGAATTTTGTTTCTGATACAGTTGTGATTGATGTTGAGCTTGTAGTCTGAGGGTTAGTCTGTTTTTTTGTTGAGAAGTTTATATTGACTGTTTAAGTTTTATTTATCTTGAGGTTCAGTGAGGAACATACTTCTGAAGCTAGTTGTAAGGTTTCTTCTGTTTCACTATTAGGTATTGTAGATACTGGGTAGAGAATGGTCGTATCATCCGCAAACATTATGCAAGTTTTATCTGTTGACATATAGTCTGGGAAGTTGTTGATGTAGATGATGAAATACAAAGGTCCCAGGACAGAGCCCTGTGGGATTCCTCGTTCGGTGAGTTTTGTAGATGATTTAATTTTTGTTTCGATGTTGTTTTTATAGTGAGTTACTTCAACTTGTTGTTTTCGGTCCGCAAAATAGTTTTTGATCCAATTTAGGGCTTTTCCTGTAATGTTTAATTGCTCCAACTTATTTATTAGAATATTGTGGTCCAAACTGTCAAAAGCTTTTTGCAAATCTAAAAAGATTGCAGAGGCATGTTGTTTGTTTTCCCAGAAGGAGGTGATTGTTTCGCAAAGTTTGTTGAGGGCGGTGTTGATAGACTTATTCTTCCTGAAGCCGTGTTGTTGTTGTGAGAGTATTTCTAGTTTATTTAAATGTTCCATAATTCGAAAGTAGATAATCTTCTCAAGGTATTTGGATAATGTTGGTAATACTGATATGGGTCTGTAGTTTTCCATGCAAGTGTTGTCGCCTTTCTTGTGCTTAGGGTAGACTGTAGCCAATTTCATTCTGTTCGGTACTATAGCTTGGTCTATTGAAGAGTTGATGATGTGGAGTAGAGGAGAAGCAATTTCTTGTTGACAATGTTTGATGATTTTGTTTGATATTTCATCAAATCCAGAGGATGTTTTTGGTGGTAGTTGAGAAAATATTTGTTTTAGTTCATCCATTGTTACTGGTTTGAAGGTTGATAAGTCATAGTTTCCTGTGTTTTTGCTTGTTGCCGGTTGATTGATAGTAGGTTCGTTTTGGTTTTCTGAAGTATTTTTTCCCTGAGAGATAAAGTAGTTATTGAGGGTGTTGCTAATCAAAACTGGATCGTCTGAGAGAGTATTGTCTATTTGTAGAGAGAGTGTTCTATGATTTTCATCAGGTTTGCTTGTCGTTTCTCTATTTATTACATTCCATATTTCCTTCATTTGGTTGCCAGAGTTTTTTATTCGATTTGTAGTGTGATTTGATTTTTTCTTTTTTATTTCACTATCGTAAATTTTCTTTAAGTTGGTGTATGTGTTTTTATCTTCGTCTAGTCCGGTTAAGTTATATTTTTTTTGAGCTATGTTTAGGCTATCTTTAAGTTTTTTTAGGTTTTCATCCCAGAATTGGTTTGCGCATTTTGTTTTAATACTCCTCAAAGTTTTTGGCATTATTTCATCCATGTTCATTCTGATCGTCTGGATAAAAGCGTTATATTTGTTTTCAACAGAGTGGGTGTTAAATACGTCTTCCCAGGTTTCCTCTCCTAGCTTTTGTTTGAGTAAGTCAAGATTTTGTGTAGTTATAGGCCTGAACATTCTTTTCAGAGCCCCAGTTTTGAGGGGTGAGAAGTTTTTGATTAAGCATGATATTATTTCATGATCAGAGATTGTGTTTTGATGAGTTTTAGCTAGTATAAAGTTTGACTCTATGTTGGTTGCACAGATATCTATGCGGTTTTGTGAAGTTGGGGTTATTCTTGTATAGGCGGTTTTTATCAGATTTATTTTGTGTGATTTTAGAAGATTCTTAAGTTGTACTACTTCACTGTCATTTTCGTTTTGGAGTTTGAAATTTACATCTCCTAGGATGATTATGTTTTTCCTTTTACTTGAAAAACTTTGTAAAAAGCTGTCTGTAATTTCAAAGAATTCATACGGGTTGTGGTTTGGTGATCTATAGAGACCTATTATTACAAGGCTTTGTTTTTTCTTTTTAAGTTCTATGGCTGCTATTTCTGCTGTTAATTCTTGACTAAGTTCAGATGCATGGTGGAAGGAAAAAACATAGGTGTGCTATTCCCACATATTCTGACGTCACTCGGATTGCAAACAAAAGATCATCTGATTGTAACTGTCAAATTAGTATGTATTTGTTTTTATTTGGTTGTTATTGTTTTTATAATAATAAAAACAATAACAACCAAATCAAAACAAATACATAATATACTAATTTGACAGTTACAATCAGGTGATCTTTTGTTTGCAATCCGAGTGACGTCAGAATATGTGGGAATAGCACACCTATGTTTTTTCCTTCCACCATGGTTCAGATGTGGGTATGGGAGTAATTGCTTTTGAGGCTATGTTGTTTTTTACATATATGGCTATACCACCCCATAAATGTATTTTTCGGGAGAATTCTGCAAAAAGCTTGTATCCCTCTAGGTGTACTTTTTCTAGTTGTTCCTGCCTATGTCCATGTTCTGTGACTATGACAATGTCGGGGTTAATTTTATTCATTTCAAAAATTAGCTTATCTATCTTCTTTTGTAGGCCTCTTCCGATGTTTATGTAGAAAATTTCCAGTCCGCTTTTTATAGATGTTTTGAGGGTATTAAACTGCTCCGGGATATGTTTGTCTTGTTTAGTAGGCTCGTCTTCAGCTATATGTCTTCGGGACTTACGGGTCCCGACAACAAACAAAACTGCCTCGTCTAATAAGGGCCTTAGTCAAACCATTGACTAACCAACACATTTTACCTATGAGTTGGTTGAGCCTACTGTAAAGAAAAAAATAACCATCACAAAAATAAATTCGTGGTTCAACAAACTGCGTAGCTGCATAGCCTGGGCAGAGGTGGCCTAACCTAATTAGGAGAATATTGAAAAAAAGGGGTTTTCAAGATTGAGGTTATGTTGATTTGTTGTTGACGGACCGACCCGAAGGACCGGAGCAAGACAAAAGACAAGATAGCCTAAGTTTAGAGAGGTTATGTGTTGTGTAGATAGTGTTACTCCTCCCATTTTTTTAAATAAGTAAAGTGGTTAAGGTATTCTGCTAAAGAAAGCTAGAGAGATGATACGTCCAAATTCACCCAGTAGTATGAGCCTTACAAAGTTACAAATTGTGCCTTGGTTCAGCAAGTATGTCTTTTTCAAATTTTAGCCTCTTTCTCCAAAATTAAGTTTAACTTATGTTGATGTAGGTAATAGGCACAAGAGCTAATGTCATTCTCAGTTACAAACATTTTGGTTTGGTATAGGGGTTTTTATTACAACTTCCTTCAAATTTAGGCCTAGGCCTACCCAGGATCTAGACTCATCAGTTTCTGTATCCCAAATAGGTCCAACCAAAGATGGACCTAACTTAGCAAATCATTATTCAACCTGCGGGCTTCCTTTTGTTAAACTAAAATCCCAATTTTAAACCTCATCTACCTACGTGATTAAATGGGTTAAGTTAGTGTAGGTATTTTTTAGCCTACTCCAAACATTTGCCTATAAGTACCGGTAGGTGACCTAAATAAAGTTTTCTATGTTTAAGCCCTTAGAGCTTGCGCCTATCGCTATAACTTAACAGGAGAGCTCAAGCAGGCTAATTATTTTCCCAACAAGCAATTCAGCTGGAACACTTTAAATACAATCATTTACTAGGTAGATAATAATCTACTTACATAGGCCATATTAAAGGTGTCAAGGCTGATTAATTTGTAAACATACAGGAAGTACTAGAGACGTAAGTTATCGTTGGTTCACAGCAACGCAACGGCAAAGTTTTTCGCCCGCCAATAACAGGTTGCCGCATCTTGTTATTTCAGCAACCTTGCCGAGAATTTGTTTCTCAGAGTCCATTGTTGACGGCCGTTGCGTCCCAGCAATAGTTTTTTTTTTTTTTTTTTTTTTTTTTTTTTTTTTTTTTTTTTTTTTTTTTTGACGTTGTTAAGCATTGTCTTGTTTGTTATTTCAAATTGTTAAGATTGCATGGAATCGATCAAATTAATTTTTAAATGTGTAGTTAACAAGTATTTTACGAAGTAATTGTATAGTGTTTTATATTTTTACTTACGGTATTTAATTTCCAGGGAAGAGTGGCTGGATACGTATAGTAATGCTTATTCTTCCAGTTTTCACTTACGAGAGAAAGCATACACTCAGATGTGCATTTGGAAAGCTAGGTAAGCATTAAATTATTTCTGGAATTACGACCCCTGGCTTTCTTGTATGTTCTGTGATCTGTTAGAACACAAGACATGCAATGTAGGCATGAACATAACTTATATGATTAGGTTCGGCTTAGTTCATCATGAACCATGATGAGTCTAATGGGATTCACTCTTGTCACTTCCATCCCAGGTAGATAGAGGCGTAACGTAATACATTATCATGACAGTGACCAATATATCTTAAATGAACACCACACTATCTTTTAACATTCAGTTGATATACAATGCTTTGTTACCATTGATTATCTCTTAGGAATCTCTTTTGATTTAAGTGATCAATTATTTGAGATGGGGACGCCACGACGTCACCTAGGTGTGTATTTTAATCCAGATATGAGTGAAGGATGAGTATAGAATTTTGTGAGATGGTTAGCTTTGTTACTGAACTAAGATCAGCTGGTTCATTAGGATCATTTATTTAAAGCCCAATGATCAGGAACAGCTGGGTCCGGTTTCAAATGATCAAAAAGCTACCGGTACTGTCTTTTCTCAGGATCGAACAGGCGACCTTACTTTGATTGACCATCAGGTCTGCTATCAATCGTTATTATCAAAAATTTAGATTTTCCCTGGAATAAAATATTAAAATATTCATCTACACACTACTAAACTTTGTTCTCAGAGGTAAAAAAACAAGAATGTTTTTAGTATTGATGACTTTTTGTATTAAATGGTTCTTTTGTTAAAAGTTTTTTAACCTATTACAGTCTAACCTTGATATAACGAACCTCAATATAACGAATTCCTTGATATAACGAATTTTTTTTAATCCCCTAGAACTCTCCATAAGACACAATGTATATTTTACCTCTACATAACGAACAAACCATAACAACGACCTCGATTTAACGAATTTTTCGTGATTTCGGCTAAAATAAGACACCTCAATATAACGAATTTATCATTGTCAGAACCTCTACATTGCGAATTTAACCTCTGCATAACGAATTGTCTACGTCTTTCCCTTGATATAACAAATCCCCCACCCCAGTATTGTTTTTGGAAAATCTGTTTCTTTATCAAATGAAATGGAAATGTGACGTCATCGCTTGCGCTAACATTCGTCTGCTCCGTTTTACACATATCTCTGTCTGCTGTCGCTGCGCACGCTATGTTGCAACTGAGAACTGATTTCATTCACTGAGGACTGATGACGACGTAATCTGTAGTAAGCTGTGATTGGGTGATAAGTAAATATGGTGAATTGTACAAATTTTGGATAAAGAGAAATCTAAGAAAGAATATAAAAACAAAAGCAAAGAGAAAGAATAGCAACATCGTTATTTTACCATTCCTTATTTATTGTTTTCAATACGATTTGTTTCAAACTAGCAACACCAATGCTATAATTAATGATTATTATTGACATTCCTCTGTTGTCTCTGTTGTGATAAATCAGTACTGTACTGTAAGTAGCCTACCGGCCTATCACGGAGCAGTCAGTAGCTTACAAAACTTTCTACTGTTTTGTTTTGTTTTTTACATGGTTTATGACTACGCAATGTAGTGTTTGGCTAGGTTTTAGGAGGGTTAGAACAAGCTGTGATTTTAAACTTACAGTTTTTAACCTGTACCAAGGTTAATGCCATTGTCATGATTGTGCAATATTCAAAATCCCTCACCTTTATTATGCCGGATAATTTAGTTTCTACCATTGACTATTGGATACAGAAGGTTCTCCTGTACAATGAACACTGTACTGTAAAGTATTGTAGCCTATGCTACTTTAATTGTGTTATAATGAGGTGAAATCCCGGCCTATATTGACCGACGCTGGTTCTGAACCTCGACTTAGCGAAATTCCTGCAAACCTAACCTCTATATAACAAACCTCATTTTAACGAAATCCTTGATATAACGAATATTCAGTTCGGTCCCTTCAGATTCGTTATACTGAGGTTGGCCTGTATTAAATGTTTTTTAATGCTGCAGGTAACATGTTAAACGTTCTTTTTAGCTTCATTTCTGATGTTACAATAAAAAATTGTAAATTTATTTCAATCCTCAACAAACGTTTACAGGTTTCCCAACTTGCCAATGGGAGTGGAATGTACCATGAGCACTTTGCATGTTAAGCTGTGTGACAAACCTGAAGACAACACTTACCAAGACAGGGACCTCCAACTACTATACTCAACAGCAGTAATGAGGTAATTTGAAATTATAACAATCTATTAGCTTTAACTGTGATTCGTAATGGGGTGTGAACCATAAAGGTTTTATGAAGTCGTTTAAGTCTGCTTCAGATGAATTGACGCTAGTATGGATTACCATTCAATTCAATTCAATTCAAACTTCTTTATTCATTATTTTGTACAATATATACATTGAATAGTGTCAGGTTGTACAACAACTCAAACTAGCCTAAGTGACAATCTCATCCACTCTATGCAGGAGACTGTAAAGTTACACAGAGTCTACAGTTAAACTTGAAAACATCAAGGGACCAGTTTATAAATTTGAACCATCCAAATATTTGAATTACTATAGATAAGTTTACTACAGTAGACTCCCTCTTATCCGGACACCTTTTAAACGGACTACACTCGGCAGAAATTACATCTCTTTAACCAGAAGATTTTTATCATCGCATCGGTTTAACTGGACTAGATTGGCAGGAAGTGGGCGGTATTGAAACAACTGTTCTAAATCACATGTCTAAATACAATGCTCTCCTAAATTTAAAACAAATACTTTATATTGTGTGCATTTAAACGGTCCGTTTCAACGAGTTTTTGGGGACGTCGGTTTAACCGGAAAACCCGTTAACCGGACTGGCCTCGGTCCCGAAGAGTCCGGATAAGAGGGACGCTACTGTACCTAATAAAGGGTTTGAAAATTGCAAATATATTCTTTCATTTGCACAACTATTGTGCTGGGAATACTGTGATTCACCAAACTTAAGGGTTTATTATATGCATTAGTATAATCTATACTTTTTTACTACAGCGCAGATGAATGTTTACAGATTTTGCGTAAACATCAGCTGATAGACAGCGTTGTACAAAATCGGGGTTGGCAGGTAGAGAGGAGTTCTATAACAAAACTGTGAAAGTTACCAATGTTAAGGGTGGTAGGGTAGAAAACAATACCTGGGCTAAGTTTTGTAGTGTGCATTATTTAGCAGTATTGCAAGACCATACAAAATGGTTCAATTCCCGTTTTTTTGGACATTGATTATTCAATGGTCAACAATTGAATAGTTTAACGTTATATTCAAATTACCCATTATATTTTTACATCATAGTACCCTTAGGTCAAGGAAATTAGAGAATCCATTTAATTTTATAAGTTTTTGAACTAGGGAAATTTTTTATGAACTAGGCCCACATCCCTCTTTATTTTAATCGATAATGATATTTCATTTATGCTGATCACTTGTACCTTGGATTTATTCAAATGTATACTTAGTTTTACATAACCTATATTATTTGTTTCAATGAGAGTTGTAGTAGTAAAATAACGTAAGGTTTTATTGTGCTGTGGTATGTTTAGGTTCCTTAATCAGCTGACAGTGTTGTCTGATCGCAAAGACTCTATGTACAAGATGGCAGAGCTGTATCAGCTGCCTGATTGGATCATCAACTTAAGACACGAGGCTGCACACGGCAACTCAGTGCCTGCCTTGTACTTACTGCGACAAGCTGCAGATATCATTCTGCAGTGGCTGGAAGTCAGTAAAACAATCACTAAGTCTGCTAGAATCAATAATAAGAAACACAAGGTTCATAGTTCCCAAACCCATGAGATGTTTTGTCATTTTTTATTAATTTACTATATAATACGATGTATCAAAAGTTAAAGCATTGGAAAACCCCCAGAAGAGGGACTCTCATTAAAAGTCTTAGTACTGGACTTATGGGGATTTAGATCGGAAAATTACAGGAGCAGAAATAGATTTGATCATATCATTATAACAACATTCAAAAAAATTAATTACATCTGGGGGTTTTAATTGGCTAATTATAAAATGTGTCTGTTTATGATATTGTTTTAATGATTAAACCCAATCAACCTCAACTGAGCAAGGCTCGGTCCCCCGGTACTTATTCTTAAAGGCATTACCTCTTTGGTATATTTAATCCGTTTATGAAGAGCAAATGTATTGTAAGTTGCAATACATTTTCAGGAAAATTATTGGAAAGTGGAAGAAGAAGTCATGAAAGATGTTATCAAGAACCCAGAACAGGATAAAATAAGGATTTGTTCAAATATAAAAAATGTATTAGACTTATGGGTGACTTTGAAAACACAATACTGGTCAGAATTGAGAACTATTGATCAAATTGGGGATGCAAATATAAGGTAAGTTAAATGTGTTTTATATTTTTTTTATGGAATCCATAATCATTAGACGTATTGGGTTTACATTAGTGTCTAACATTGATCGATTAATTGATTGGCTATGTCTAATTTTAAACTAAGACTGGCAGGAATGATTGGTTGCAAATCGACCAATTCAAGTCATTTTTGTGTACAAACTTTGAGTAGCATATTTTAGTGTCAAATCATACATATGGTGTTGATTTCCTTCTTGTTTGTTTAACCGATAAACATTTGTATTAAATTATTGAAGACCTTGAGTAAAAAGGTTGTGACAGAGATGATTTACAATCAAATAAAATAACTAACAAATAACAATTAAGATTTTGGATGGATAGGATTCCACTTTAAGTTCAAGGCGGGATATTTTATTTGCTTTTTATTTTTGGGAAGGGAGTTTTCTTCCCATGCAACAATAGTTTAAAAAATCTTACTACCTATAAATTTCTCAAATGGCAGTAATTTCAAAAAAAGTCTCTCGTGATACAGGGACATCATTATCGAACTGCCTTGACTTCAATGTAACCCTGCTTGATGTTTGAGAATATTTACTTCAAAAAATTTCCCAACATTTTGAGACCCATTTATCCTTAAAAAAACAAAACATATAAACAACATTTAGCGATTTACAAAGTAGCAAATTCTAGTTTCAAAACCTCAGAATTCCTGATAATTAAGTTTACCAACTGTAGTAAACACTACACTACACTAGCTTTTGATAAAAATGTTGTGATTTTACATATTTATTTTCATTTTCTGACTTTTTACCTTAGGAAGCAGGCCATGGATCTAGTAATGCAAGGGAGGACTGGAATAAAACTATCTAAAGAAACAAAAAACCAAGAAGGAACTTATAGTTTTAAAACAAGAGAAAATTGCCAAGATATTTCAATGGAGGACAACAATGTAATCGAAAATATTCCTGAAACAAGTGAAGAATACACTCACAAAATAAAAACAACTTTTGATCCTTTACTGAAGAAGATTTTAGAACCATTAAAAGCCAAATCCTTCCGAAAAATACTGTATCAAAATTGTCTCATTGATTCTCTTATCCGTCACAAAAGCTTCTGCCCGCCAATAGATGTTGAACAATTGTGTAAGTACATCATTATGAACGTTTGTCATCTTTAGTGATGTGTCAACACCAAATCTCAAAACCATCAAAACTTTAGAAAAGTTTTGGTTTCGAGATTCGATCACCGAGTTTCGAGAGTCAAAAGTTTTGAAATTGAAGATTTTGGCAGTTTTATTTTTGAAACTGCTGACATGTTTTGTGTCATTATTGTTAATAACTAACACTGTTTCCACACAAGTTTGTAGTAATAGAGCAAACATATCAACCTCTAATGTTTGTAAACTACAGTAGGAATTATTAAAACATGACAGAAATTTGTTATTTATCTACCAACCACCTTAACTAAGGAACCTTTAGATTTGTATTTTAATGGCTAAACTTTAGAAACATTCAAGATATAACTACAAACCTTCAACCATGTTTATTTTGTAAAATATGTTTGCCTGGAAGCAAGGATCAAATCCACCAGAGAAATGTGAGTTTCTGAACACCCTGATGTGAATATTTGTAAAAAAAAGAGTTTTGGTTTAATTTTTTTTATTGCATTCTAGCTGAGTCACAAGCACTGGAGTTGATGTCTCTACTGGAAGATTTGTGGAAAGAGATCATTGAAGGTTTGCAAGCCAATGACATTCTGCACTGTCTGTTGAAACAGCTGATATTACATGAGGACCAGCTGATGTCCAGTCAGCTGTGGTTGAGGCTTGTCAGTCAGCTGATCGCTGGTCACCCCCCACCCCACCCTCCTGGAACCCTTGAAGTATCTCAAATGGTCATTGAGGCCCTACCTACTGCAGTAAAACCTGAGGTATGATATAATTTTATACCCCTTCCCTTAAGTACAGTCCCAATAATTTGTTTTCCACCAACCCTTGTGTTTATGGGGATCTTATGCCCAGTTTATGGAGATTCAATCTTCTATACATTGTGCATTGGGCAGAGTATGGTCATGTAATGCCATATTGACTTATGAGGTGAATATTACAGTGTTGGGAAGTAGCGCGCTACAAGTAGCGACGCTACAGTAGCGCGCTACTTTTTTTGTAGCGTTAGCTGTAGCTACGCTACTTTTAAGATTTTGTAGCTTTAGCTGTAGCTAGCTACATTTTTAAAGTAGTTGTAGCGGAATTTTAGCTACTTTTCTCGCTACATTAACATTTGTTTGAGATAGTGATTTAATCATAACAACCTTACGTGAAACAACCTCTTTCAAACTGAGATTTTCAAAAAAATTAGGCCTACTTTCTTGGCTTCAAACAGCTGGTTGCAGCCGTTTCATTCCCTATTACAACGTTGTGTGGACATAGAGGCCATTAAATGAGTGTTATCCACATTGTTGGCTCTCATTTCCTTAATTTACTACTCTATGATTACTGTCAGATAAAATAAAATCGCTAGATGCAGACGACGTTTAAACAGTACCGGTGACAAGAGAAGCTATTGAATTGAATGCTTGCAAGTGATTGACAGGACAGGGGAATTAGTAATCAATTTAGTTTCTTTATTATATCGATAATGCTTCAACTTGGGGTTTAATGGAAACCAACACACCTTGAAGTAATGAGAAAGCTGGTCTATCGACCTTTGCTTCAGCTGTTGATTGTGGTTTATCATCACAAGCCCTTCCTTGGTTAGATTACGAAGATTTTTCAAAGGTTTACTAAATTAGCAAAGAGGAAATTACCTGATGAGATTTAAGATATGCCTAGACTACATGATAATTGTAATGAAAAAATCTCCATATAACATGAAACTTACATTGAAAAAATAGCATAGTTTGCTCCTGCTAACAGCTCTTGTATAGGACTGAGGCTATGGTTTAAGACGAATACCAAGTTCAATTATTATGAATATATCTGTTTAGTCCTTGCAAGAACAAGCCTACTATAGCCAACTTGTTACATAGCCAAGTAGGCCTACATGTTATTTTTACTTTACAAATTTCATCATGTTTAAATTAAAAGCCGATTTCAGGATAAGTTGCTGAATACTGTTTTCTCTACCAACTAGGTTGAAGCACAATTTGCCCTATGCATAATGACAATAAAGGACGATTTCTTGACATTGAAAAGTGTTATTCGTAGAATAAGTAATTTATCACTTTAAAAGTTATAGCAATGTTGTTTTTAACATTAAAAGTAAAGAAAGGCAATAAACTCCAATTTCAGTAGGCTAGGCTCTGTAACACAAAAAGTATTTTTAAATAATCTTTTTGCAGTTTTATTGGTCTTAATTGTTGATATAAAACATCTATAAATGAATCTATATTAAATTAATAAAATTAGCTTTTAAAATATAGTTTGGTTGTATGTCCTTTGAACTTAATGAAAATTACATTTTAAGATGCTTAAAAATAATGCAATATTTAAAAATAATTACTAAATATGATGGGACACCCATCTATTTGGTTCTGTTGTTGTAATGTTAGGTTTATAATGCCAACAAATTAAATACAATCTAGGAATAATTTGTTTTCCAAGTAATGTTAGATACAATACTGACATTTTTTTAAATGTTTGTTCAATAAAAATGTAGTTGCAATTAATTTTACATTTACCTAATGTGCGTGGAATAAAAATTAACGTCTTTGGAAAAGTAGATAAAATTGTAGCTGTAGCTACATTTCATTGTAGTTGTAGTTGTAGCTAGCTACTTTTTCGGAACTGTAGCTGTAGCTGTAGCTAAGCTACTTTTTTGGAAATGTAGCAGTAGTTGTAGCTAGCTACATTTTAAAAGTAGCTTCCCCAACACTGATTTCAATACATTTTGACAGTATTAGGAGGCATGGGTAAAAGATGAATACCAAATTAAATCATATTGGTCCTTCATTTTATTCAGGTATTGATTACGGACATTTTCTTTGAATGAAACACAACAGTGTAATTATTGTGGTTATTGGGTTTTTTGTCAAATTAGGTTTAATTTTTTCATGCATTTTAGGTGTTAAAAATAAGGGTAAATCTGCTACATATGCGGTATAATAAACCTATGGAACTGAAGTCAGCATCAGCAGATGAACTACATGTGCTGCAAGAGTTGGGTAGGAGAGTTTTAGATCACCCCACAAGATTCACCACCCAGTATTTGCACAGGTAACTGAAGACTAGATGTGTAATTGCCTCTCCAAATTGTCTTTCACAGCTTTTGTTCAAATTCTAGGCTAGGATTTTGAATTGTAGTATAAAAGTATAAAAGCTTGTAGTAAACAGCTAGCTTATCTTAGGAGGCAGGCAGAATAGTTTTATTTTAAATTCTTTTATATGATAATTAGTTTGATGTTTTAAGATTTTAATGTTTTTTCACTTTTCACTCTCTACAAGCAATTCACAGATTTTAATTTTTTTCTCTTATTTAATATAATATTGGCTACATCTGGGACCATGCTATTGGTATATATACGGTATGTTTACTTGAGTATTCAAAAGTCAGCGATACTGTTTAATCAAAATAATTCCTATAAACAATCTCTCAATAATTTTATCAGGTTTTGAGCATGATTTCTTTTCAAAAAACTCATCACCAGAACATTCTCAAGAGGTAAACAGTTCATTCTGTTATAGTAGTGGTCCTCATTATAATTATTGTATCTCTAGTTTGCTGAGCCTGTGGGAACCCCGGATGAGTTGGGAGACGAGAGAGAAACTGTGTGCTCTGGCGAGGATATACAACGGACAACAGCCTCTGAGGAACCCTCCGACTCAGGTGTACACCTCCGCGTCTTTCCTGGGGGAGCAGGAAGAGAAGGAGGAGGTGATGTCCACTGAGAGTGCGGACAGTCAGTCATCTCCCTGGACACTGTATACTGGTAAGTCCTAACGGAAAGTCTAAGATATGGTCTTGATTGTGCTGAAACTTAAGCTGACCACATATAGGTGAACAGAAAGGTTGGTTAACTTAAAACCAAGTTTAGTATATTGTAAAAATGCAGGAATGTAATCGCTCTAAAAAAAAATAAAGATTTTAAAAGTTCATTAAAAATAATTTTAGAGATGTGTGATTAAGATGTGTATTTTTTTGGCAGGAGATGCAGATTGGAGTCAAAGTGCCTTAGGAGCTTTACCACAGTGAAAACTACAATAAAGGAGTTTTTTAAAAAAAGGTTATATTCTTTATACCCCAAATCACTATCCTTATACAGGGTGTCCCGGAACTCTCTACCAATATTTTAGGGCATTGATCCTGGGTAAGAAACGTACCTAAATATCATATTTAAATTGTCCGGAAGTCCTTAGTTACTCACACAGCCGCCATTTTGTTTTTTTCAGTTATTAATTTTTTCCTAAAGAATGGTTAAACATACGGAATGGAAACTTTGCACAAACATTTATGACAACTAGACAAAGCTACAAAAAAAGTTATGAAGATTTTTAAAATTCATAAAACAAAATGGCGGCCATTTAAATTTTATTTCTTAAATAACTCAAAAACCATTGATTTTACAAAAATGTTAAATGGCCGCCATTTTGCTTTATGAATTTTAAAAATCTTCATAATTTTTTTGTAGCTTTGTCTCGTTGTCATAAATGTTTGTGCAAAGTTTCCATTTCGTATGTTTAACCATTCTTTAGAAAAAAAATAATAACTGAAAAAACAAAATGACGGCTGTGTGAGTAACTAAGGACTTCCGGACAGTTTAAATATGATATTTAGTTATGTTTCTTACCCAGGAGCAATGCCCTAAAATATTGGTAGAGAGTTCCGGGACACCCTGTATATAACACGTGAAGACAATTTCTACAAAACACTACTCTTCCTTTGATAATGGACGGATTTTTATAAACGATGTGTCAAAATTAAGTATTTTTTGTGTAGACCAATTCACCAATTCCTCTAATAAAAGTCCTCGGGCTTTGCCCCAGACCATCAAAATCCTAATGTATTTCTTATGAAGAAAAGATTTTGTTTACTTAACACGGCGCATAATTTGTAATATTTACAAATGTTCATAGTAAACACATGATACACACGAGAGCGTTCATTTTCAGTTTCAATAACTGGAGTGGAGGGATTCTGTTAATCGGAGTAACTTTATTTAAAAGTTTGAGATTTTGATCTCGGCGTGACTTGGTCTATTTTCTATCAAAGACTCAGAATTTCGGTAAAAATCCAATTTTCCGAATTGTTGATTATCCGAATGGGGTCCGGTCTGGTCCCAATTGATTCGGTTAGTTGGAGTTACTCTATTCAAAAGTTTGAGATGTTGATTGGTTATCTAAGACAACTTTCTGCAACCTATGTAATTTCTGAAAAAATCAATTCACCCTCAAGGAAATTATTAAGCTGGTTTCAAATCAACATTATTGACTCAAATTACTTAACAATTTTATCTGATTTTTAGGGGAGCACAATACACAAATAGTTATTGGAATTCTGTTAATTTTAAAATTAAGTTGTGAAAACTCAGTGTTGTCTGCTGGTATTGCAATGACATCACAGGTTTACAGTATGATTATGGATCAAAAATGGTTTCCCTTGCAATTTCGTACTGCTTTATTTGTACTGTCTCAAAAATAGACTGGTACATCCAAAGTTCAAAACCAGGCAGTCATCCCAGATGCATTTTACATAACAAATTCATTTAATGAATCGAGGCACAGGGAAAAAATCCACACCCATTTAAAAATGTAAAAATTTAATGTTAAATCTTGACATGCTAACAGAAAAAAGTTATGACTTGTACAAAAACGTGAGCACCTCAAGAGGTGAGTTTATCCCACCGCCAGATGGTTCCATCATCACACACTGCGAGCAGCACCGAGCCGTCGCGGGAGAGGCTGGTCTGTCGCACGGCTGAGTTACATCGTGGGTGAGCTAACGTAGCAATCCTCGCTTGACCAGGGTCGCCAACACTCAGGTCCCACACAAACAAACGTCCGTTCTGGTTACCCAGGGCCAGGTACTGCAAGCATAACAGTTGTCAATGCACAACGTTGTGGGGATTGTCCCTAACAGCTACAGTATACACTTTGTACTGTATAATAATATACAATAAAGCCTAGTATTATTGTGTTCTAATTATAGTTTTGGTTATTCGATGGTCATACAGCCCATAAAATTTATTCTGCCCCATTGTTCATAAAATGAAACTAAAACAATAGTGCTTGCAACACAATTTGATATTTCATCCTAATATAAAGCTTCTGATAGTATACCGGTATTGGTGTATCCATCATGTATTCATTCTTTCAAACTTGATCTCTAAGCCAAGTAATCTCTCCAAAATAAGAACGGAAACATAAAAAATTACATTTTGATTCTGCAATAGTTTCAATATTAAATGCATTTGTATATGAATAATGTCTTACAAACCAATACACGTCAAATAAATTACTTGTATTTCAAATTTGCTTATATCTTCTAAAACCTGGTGAAAAGATGTGTCAACTGCTTAAATCACATCAACTTTTGTTTGCAAAACTGGGCTGTATTGAGAAATTTCTTAGATAAAACCACTTACTTTCTGCCAGAAATCCATTCCAAAGCGTATGAACCAAATTTCACACTCTTTGAATTCAAACTTGTGTACGATCTGAATGTTTGTTTCATTAAAGCGAAGTTGGTCGTCTTCTAGTCGACCTGGTTTCCAACACACGATGCAGTTTTCACATGACTGAAATACAACGAATACAGCCATCAAATAAGAATACTAGGTAGCCTTTTATAAAAGTACGACAAAGAAGGGTAAATGTTATTTCTGAAAAAAGGGACTACTACTTTAAATTTCTTACCAATAGGCTATGAATGTTTTTCTTGTTTGCTCAAGCAACAACTCACCTTAGACAAAATGAAGTTGCCAAACCATCTGACACAATCCACATAGTTTCTGTGAATATCTCTTGTGGAGAAGTCGGGGAAGTGTTCTTTGAGGGAGTCAAATGGACGAGTGCTGCGACTGGCATTGAAGTCATACGAGGCTACCACAGCCTCCTCTATGTGATCTTTGTCCAGCCTCCACAGCTTGAGTGAGTGATCCATGCCACAAGACATGATGCGCTTGCCGAGCAGGTCAAAGTCCTGAGACAACAGATTTCAAAATATACATTTTGTTTTGTCTTACTGAAGGGATTGAAAATACTGGTTAACTTCTTTGTGAGCAGAAGAAAAAATGTTACCAACCATGAAACTAAGATAGGTCTATACTCTCATTCGTGTTGTATAGAGGTAATTCTAATCACTAGAGTGCTGTAAAGAGTACCAGACAGCAAAACACATTTAAATATTACTTTAGGAATTGTTTTAACAAAGGGTAGAGTTTAGCTTACCAGAAAAAAACTATACACCTAGAGGCTTATAAATACACAAATAAAAGATCACAAAATCAATTGGCTTTTCTTAATATTATATCATTGAGTATACACGTACTAAAGTAGTCACTCAATGGAGGTTATCGTTACCGGAACAGCGCTATTGCAGAGTAGCGTGCAAACTACTCCACCTCAGGCTTGTCGGTAAAGCAGTTTGGTTGTTTTTTTTTAATATTGCTTTCATTGTAGGTTGTAAAATTTGTTTATTTGTTCATAGTTTCGTTGTTTTATAATAAATTTTTGATACTAAATTATTAAAAGGGCCTCAGAGGCGCACCGCACTACCGACAGACTACCCTGACCCAAGCGTCAGCGGCCCGAACTACGTTGCCAAAATCGCCTTCAGATTAAGCGAATTTCCATTTACCTGGCTTAATTTCTACAAAGATATTCCCTGTAAATATTGTAATTTTTTCCCTATTTAAATAACATTAAGTTAATTTTAATATGAGTACCTAGGTTTGCTGCTACAGGGAAGGCAGGTGTGTTTTTGTTGAAATGTTGATAGCTTAGTATGATTGTTATTGGTTTGCAAATCCTGGAATACTTTACAATTGCTCGAATTCGAGCAAAATGAACACTAGTTATATTTAAATTGAGACAGAAAATTTACTCAAAAAACAACAGTTTATGCTTCTCCTTACAGTAGCACATTTTTAATTTTTTAATCCCATGGAGCAAATTCCAACCTGTTTTTCTTACCGCACTCAAAACTTCGTCCCTGTGTCCCTCAACGCCTCCGAAAATTGCAATACAAACGTCAGTCTTGATGTTCCACAGTCGCAGAGTGTGATCCTTGGACACAGACAATAACAAGTTGGGGTCCCGAGGGTGAAACTTTAACTCGTTTATTGCATGACCGTGACCTGGGAACAGGCACTCAGATAAAGAAAGGTATTGTACACAAATTCTATTCTAACACATATGGATTTCAATTAAAGTACTGTAATGTAGCTTTTGTATCGATTCGAAAAATCATACTTACACTATGTAGGTGATTTTTAAGAAACAACCCGTCCTGCATACCCGCGTTCAAAGTTAAGTACCATTCCCCTCTCCGACAGTCGTACCACAGTATAATCGGGGTCGGATCGGAAGGGTGTATGACAAGTCCCCGCCTTAACGGATATACCTCCCTTTGAAGTTAGAATGTGTCTTCCCAAATAATATTTTCTTTTGAAATAAAATCATATTACACTGATGAAATCACGGAAGTGTTAAACTTCAAAAGATCCATTAATACGATTTTAATACTATTTAAAGGTTCTTCCAAAGGAAGGGATACCATATCTAACATACTAATAATAACTCCGATGACATAAAGTATGGGGGAATATTTTATTCATTGAATGATCAACCAAATTTTGCAACTAACGCAATTAATATCATTATTGTTTTTACACTTATTACTCTTTAAAGAATGCTAAATGCTCAAAATATGTATATTTCACCTAATTTATCGCAGTTAGATGAATTAACGTAAGCCTTGAAAGTAACCGTCGATTTCGACGGGTTTCACCTAGTTATCTTTAATAGTTTATAGTTTGTTAAGCCCCATGTAAAACTTGCTAAAAATCTGATTTGAAATCAAGAATTATCAAGTAGAGACTTTTTACCATAATGAAAAAAAAGACAATTTGTTTGGTCCAGAGGAAAATTTTTCCCCAGAGATTCGCTGTTTGAATTGCACATTTAAAACTTGTATGGACTTACCAATGTAATGGCGGATGCAAGACATGGATGCAGGGCTGAGTATCCTGATGATACCATGGGATCCG